GGTAACGGGGACGCAGGGCTGTGGGTCCCGCTCCCAGCTGGGGGCAGCCCAAAGACCAAAGCCCGGCCCTGCTGTGGCCGGAGCAGCCCCGTGACACCCCCCGGTCGCACCGTGACCCCCATCGCCCTGCGAGGCTCACAGGGCCACGGTGGAGCCGCGTGGCCGCAGCCTCCCGCTGCAGGAGGAGTCACTGAGTGTGGCCATTTATCCCTATAGGAAGCCTATAGGGTATAACCAATGTATGTGAGCATCACAGGGGAGAAAGCACCCGCACACGTGCTGCCAGGGGTCGTTTTGCCCCTCTTGGTCTCTTTGGTGCTAACGGCAGAGCTGTCGCCTTGCTAAAAGTCTCTGCAAACTCCCCATAAGGAACCAGTATATTATTAATTGTCTTCATTTCTGGGGATTTGTGATACCACCAACTTGCATTGCATATCGCAGGCCACCAGGTTCTTGTGCAGATAAACTCATTTACAGGACTTCTTGCAGATATTTGCAGTGTATTTGTCCTATATAATTATCCATATAATATATAATAGTAGGTAAGCATATAGTGAAAGCTATTTAATTTCTTAGGGTATGAAGGGTTATTTTTTCTGCACAGGTATATTAGTAGCCACAGCTCTTTGCTCTTATGATCCCCAATTGTATTTCATGCATGTATTCTGGATTTTGAAGTTTTTTTGTTTGTTTATGTCAAATTCTCTTGTTTTGAAGACTGAGGACTGCTAAAGGTAGCAAAGATCTCCTGGAATACCCGACAGGACAGTTACTTTATCAGTGTGTGTTCCCAAAGGCTCTTTTCGCTGTGACTCTCGCTGAAATGGATGTCTTCACACTGCTTCTGCAGAAGTGGAGTTTTATTGCTTAACAGGCCTCATTCTGAAAACTTTTCCTGATATTTCTTGTACTTATATCTCTCCAGACTATGAGCTCTGTTTGTATTCCTACAGTTCCTTCAGCTTGCTGGTGATTATTCTCTATAAATAAAGGATTTATACAGTCTGGTTTTGCTGCTTCTCAGCCTTCCCTGGTTAAGCTGTCTGGATTTAGCATGCTTGGTCTTTCTTCCTTTGTGATCAAGGCCTGATATCTCCCGCAGGGCTTCCAGTTATCCAGTTACCATTGGCACCAACACCTCGCACGGCACAGATCTGCCTCCTCCTTTGCTGGGCTGGTCCTTAATCCTCCCGTTTAGCAGAACTGAACTGCACTGTGCCTACAGTGACCATTACATTACATCTACATCTTTTTCTTCTTTCGTTTAGTGAGTGTTAATTCCTGATGCACGTCTCCATGCTCTGCCCAAGGAGAAATTAATCATTCAGTCGTTTCTGTTCACTTTGGCAAGCGTTGCTCCTTCCTCACCCTCGAGCAGGGGGAGCAGCGGCTATAGCAGAATGATATGGTAAGTCTTGTCAGATCTGGGTCACCTAGAACGGGATTTTGCTCCCTGTCTGGGGCTGTGGTGGAGGGGGATGTTGTTGCACCCTCCTGGCCACGTCGCCATCTGCACTCGGGTCCTCCTTGGTTTTGTTATTGATACCTAGGCTGAACTCCTGGTTTGGATGTACTAGCAGGCAGCTTCTCCAATGGAAGGCCAAATAGGCTGTTTTACTGCCTGCTGGCTGCTTCTGCCCCGTGTAAACTTTTCCTCCTCTGCTCTCCGGGCAGAAGCGCTGTGCTGCTCTTCTGCACTCCTTAGATGAAGGAATAACTCAAAGCATCTCCAAGGTGGCATAAACAGCCCTGCATGCTCAGAGATCTGTGTTACTCCTGACCGATATTCTCAGGACAGTGGATCAGGGATAAAGCAGTTGCTTTTGCAGCGTCTCCACTGTAACAGTGCTTTGGACAGTGCAGGGAAGGGGATCTCTGCCCTGCACACAGCGCAGCCCCACAAGGACCCGCGTGCCCGGGCCTGGCGCAGCGCAGGCAGCCGCTCTCCCTCGGCCGAAACCCGCCCCGCTTCCGAGACCCCAGCGCCTCCTCCACCGATTTTGGCTCCCAGCCCTGGCGCTTTCTTGCTGCTGCGGGTAACATAGTTTCTTAGGCTTGGCCACTGAGAATTTACCTGTCAAACCTATTCTTAAGCTGCCCAAAGTCTCCTGCTTTAACAGCCCCGCTGCAGCCTGCTGAGATTCAGTCCTTCTCGCTGTCGTCTTCTGTTCTGCGTAGGGTTTTGGGAGCTTTTGAAGCTCGTGTTTTCAGAAAAGCCGCGTGCGCAGCAGCTAAAGGAGCTGTATATTTCATAGAATTTTTTAGTTCAGTTATTTCCACTGCTGTGGTCTTTCCAGTAACTGGAGCATAAAGAATCATGCTCTACCTTAATGCATCTGAGGGAATACTTTTAATTTACCTTTAGTTTGTCAAGAGGGAGCAATGAAAAATTGAAAGCCATGATTTTTTCTTGCAGAATGAATCCTCAAAAATTATTCTGAACGGTTCATGTGAATTTTAACTACTCAAGATTTTCTTGATGCAGGCACAGTGCCCTTTGTCCTGTAACTTATTTTTGATTGAGAAATGTGTTCCCCCCTTTCCTCATGTATATTTTAGATACTTTTTTAACCAGTTTGTGCTTGGAGGTGCTCGCAGTCACAAAGCCCTTCTCCTTGCAGCTGGGAACGAAACAGCAGAGCTGCTCATGCTGTAGCAACAACAGAGTCTGCTCTGGGAATCTGCTCCCTGGAGCTAGGGATGAGTAGCACGTTCTGGGGAGTAGCACAAACTTATTTTTTTAAGCTGTACTCTCTTCACATAGGAAGAAAGAAAAAAGTCCTAATTCATGCTGTTGAAGGCACACAAATTTCTTGAAGCCATGCAATAAAGGAGATTGGAATCTTCCAAGAGCATCATAGCAGTCCTCAGCATAGAAGATGCTCATGCTGTGGGCATCTGGGATGTCTTCTCCCTTGGAGTTCCCTGCTGAATTTTGGCTTTTGAGCATTTTCCATGTGAGTTCCTGGACAATGGCAATTCCTGTGCAACACTGCTTAGTCCACTGGCATACTTCAGATGTTGCCGAAGCAGTAGAATCCAGAGCTACTTTTGAAGCTCAGTTTTGCCTAACTTTGTACATTGAAACATCCCTGGGACTGCAGGAATCACCTGGGTGTTAGGAAGTAGAAGACTGTTCAGGAAGGGGTTGTTCTTGGAGCCAGTGCAGCCAGGTCGGGTGCAGTCTGACTGCTGTCCAAGGCTTTTGAAAGCCGTGAAGGGCGTGGAAAGACATGAGCAGCCTTTTTCCTAAAGCGGGAGGAAGGTGATGTGTGACGAGGGTTGGCTTACGCCGAGGTTGCATCTGCCCCGAGCGCCCCAGCGGTTCTGCCCTGCTTCCCTACAGCCCTTGGTGGCTTTTCTAAATCGGAGCAGGGACAGGACGGAGGAGCCACTTTGTTTTGCAGAGAAAAAAAAAAAAGAAAAAAGGGAAAACTGGCTTGAAACTGCAAGAAACCATGTAGCAAGTTGTTCCCAGGTTGTTTCAGTGTAGCAACAATAGATAGAGGGAAGATTGTTTCTTTCCTTTCTTCCTGTGAGGGTGTCCAAACAAAACCATACATTTTGCAACATTCCCGCCATCTGTTGGCCCTTCCCAGGTGCTCCCTGTGCCTGCGGGGAGCAGGTGCCCAGCAGCAATGCGCACCGGGTCAAACTGCCCCTTCCAGCCTGGAGCCCGGCTGCAGGAAACCAGGAGCTTGGTGACAAATGTGCTGTACTGCGAGGGGAAGGCGCTTGCTCTCAGTGATCTGATCCCCTTGAAACAAACTCTGGACACAGTTTATCAATAACTCTTATAATATGAGGTTTTCCTTTTTCTTCCTTACAGAAATGTGATCTTTTCCTTTATTTCTGTAGCCGCACCACTGGCACATTAAGCCCATATGGTCAAAATGATTTTTATGTGCTTTATAGAAATAAATCATTTGTAAGTGATATCATGACTATATCTGTCTCCTATGACAACTGAGCCATTTGTAGCTGTGCAAAATGAGAGTTGACACTAAAAGCCCAGGATGATTTAAGGGAAATGACAAAGTCGTGCTCTTGCTGTAGTAAAATACTGGATATTTTTAGAGGAAGGAAACCTGGACTTGGACACAGCTGCACATTTATCATGAAGACCTTAAGGGCACCTATATATAGTCATGTTACATATACCTGGAAGAACAGCAAAAAATGGCAACTTTTTTGTTTTGTCTTAAATGTGAGTGACACCTACGTTTGCCCTCCATATGAATATTCATGTCTCTCTCTTGTAAGAAATCTCCATAATCCCTATGGAAAGCTGCGGATGCCCAAGATCAGAGCAAGTGAATGGGAGAAGGGGCTCCGTGGGTGCAGGGGGCCCCTGCAGTGGTCGGGCTGACGCGGAGGGAAGATCCCTTCCAATGCGGAAGGGCCTTCCGACTGGGAAGAGCTCGCATTGCGGGTGCTCCCAGCTCCCTGCTGGCTGCTTGTTCTTCTCGACCTCTTCGTCTCCAAGGAAGTTCCATGTTAGTAAAGCTGCTGATGGGGGGCTCAGACTTCAAGTGGGTCTCTGGCCTCTGGGCTGGCTTTTTCCCCCTTTTTTCTTCCATACAAATATTCCTTTGCAATCTTTGTGTACGGGAAGCAGGCAGTGTGCCTCGCTGGGCTGCTTGGATGCTGTGCATCAAACAGGCTCTTGCTTCTAACCTTGCTCTTCCTTTGCTTGCTGGACCCTGCTGGTGCTGGCGTTTCACAGCAGTCCTGTCCCGTTGTGGTCCTCACCTCCCTGCTCCAGGCAGCTTCTCCGCTCCTATTTGTAATCCTACTGCTTGACTCCCTCTCAGGACGAGCAATTTGGTGTTGCAAAGCCAGCCCTGGTTTTTGCTCCTCTCTCAAGTTGTCGCTCATTCATACGCTGCTTTTTGAGTGAGATTTGACCTTGAGCAATGGCAGAGGAGGGGCAGCTGCAGGGAATCAAAGAGCATTAGAAGAGCAGCCTAGAGGAAGCTCCTCAGCGTAATCGCCACAGCAAGAGATGATTTGGGGACGGGATAGGATCCTGGTGAGTATTGAGGGAAGTAGGAGCACCAAGGAGGCTGCTCCATGACTTAAGAGATTAAAGCTATGTGTATAATCCATGTCTTGAGCCTGAGAAGCGGGAAGTCAAGGGGAGATTCACCTTCTCTGTCCTGCAGTTCAGTGTGAGGGTGTCCGGCCTGCAGCCTGGGGCAAACTTGGTCAGCAGACAAGTCTTGCCGGCTGGATTTTGGCCTCCCCTTTCTCAGGGGTCTTTTGAACATGAACGTGATGTGAGTCAAATTCTTTACAGGAGTTTGATCCCTCCTGTCTGTTTTTTTTTTTTTTTTTT